TGCTGACGCAAAATAAGATGCTAAGTAGGTCGAATAAACAGACGCTCGCTCGGCTCGTTTTCGTATACAGATATACCAGCTCTGTGTTTTTTCAAAAACAAAAGATCCCGCCTTGGGAGTAATTAGCGATCGCGCTCTGATCAACGCCAGCTGGAACTGACCTCGCAATGAAATTCACAATGCATATTCATCAGCATCCGCGATCTAAGGGCAGTTGTGATTCACCACGAAACAACAAAGTATCTACATCTATATCGAGGAAAAATAGGTTCTTTCTCGACTTGTGAAATCTCAAGAACAGAGAAAAACGCGTAGGAAAATCAATGTACAAATGAAACATAGGCTTACTTGGTGAAGCTGAAAACAAAGACTCCTTGATTTTACTAAATCTGGAAATTAAAAAGGCATCCAATGAAGAATTTGGGTATCGCTCCTACAATTTGGCTGCTGGTTTCAGCTTCATGCCGATTTCGGATGCTCGTTGACGATTTGCCCGTACAATTGTGCCATATTCTCGCGTTCCACTTAATTACCGAGGATGGATCAACGAAGGGATCAGACACGAACCGCAGCTCTGGTCGTAGGGAGTCAAGAAAAGATTGTTGTGATCGACGGAATTTCAATATCGAATACCCAATGGAGGGTGAACCGGAAGGGAATCCCACAGCAGAGATGAGGAGGCGGGGAAAGAAGCTAGCTCATTCGCTCGGCTCCGTTTATTATTATCATTACTACTATTTCATCGCGATTTGAGTTCAGCAGTCGGGGAGCAAGGTTGGGGTGGTGGTAGTAAGGGGTGGGGTGGGGGGGCTGTATAGATCCGTCGTCGCGCTCGCGTGTATACAGGGGCACGCCCGCATCAACGCTTTCTAATTAGCGTAATTAACTCCCTCTCCGTTCCTTATTCCTCGAAGTGCACGCGCAGCGATTCTCGGTTATCACTGCGTGCTACTCGTGCTTCACCAGCGCCCCGTGAAAGAGAGGCGTTTCCTGGGAATATTCGAACAAACGGGAGGCAAAGAAAAATACCTGTCTCTGCCACCTGCGGTGCTCCCTCTCCCTCCAAAGGAGCTTTAATTAAATTACTCCGCTAAATAATGATAATATTAACCGACAGGCTGGAATTTCAAATTACGCGCTCTGCCATTAAAATCCGTCCCGGCTGCTGACGCGCTTAATTATTTATTCATTTATCTTATACCTTGCAGACAAACAGCTTTTTTTTTTTTTTTTTTTTCATTGCTGTTGTTTCCATGCACGCGTATCCTCGTTGANAGGCAACCCTGCCGTGCGAGGTCAACAATAAAATGGGCAACGTGCAATGGGTCAAGGATGGCTTCGCCTTCGTCGTCACACAGAGTAAGTTTTTCGTTTTTTTTTATTTTATCATCACAACGCTGCTTGGAAAAAAAAAAAAAAAATGAATGTTGACCCACTATAAAGAAAAATTCATGTTAAGGGTACTTAAAAAATAAAAAAAAAAATAAAAAAAATTTGATACAAAAGTTAAAACAAAAGGCCAAAAAATCTCGGGTTCGCCGAAAGATTGGCATTTGTGAAACGATGGCTGCGAGCGAATAGAAAAAATGAAAAGTCGACAGCTCTGGGTAATCGTAAAAAAAACCGGTGCACTACCAAGCCAGTTCATTGTATAGCTGGAGAACTCCCGCCCCAGTCGATGATCTTCCATTGTACAGGTTCCCGCGTTACGCGAGGCTGGCTCCGGCGAACGTGTAGGGCTTCTCTTCCTCCTCATCTCGACGCACGATTTTCACGAAATTAACAAGCTCGTGCGGACGAAGTTTGATGCAACCGGCTCTGCTATACGTGCCCGGGTGTACAGGCTCCTCCTCCGTGGAGCTTTTTAACACGCGCCTGCGAGCAGAAAACCCCGAGGCCACTGTGCCGCTTTCACCCTCATGTGTATATATATATAACTCTCCACGTGCACGAACGTCGTGTCGTGTCGTGCATCGAATAGAAAACTCCTCCCGGCTGTTCTGCCGCTGTTTTTCATAATAACACGGTACCGCTCCCGTGTTTCACTTTTGCCATTCGCTCGAGTCTTTGTTTTTCTTCCTCTCCACCCCTCTGTTTTTCCTCTCCCTAGGATACACCATACGTTAAAATTACCATGCAGATAGTTCTCTTGTTACATTGACTATCAAGCGAATGGGCAATCGTGTATATAGACGTATACGTCATCTCGTGTATGCAGTAGTGGCTTTTTTGTTTGCGAGTCTTTACGCAAGATCTAGATAGTACAGCATCACGTTGCCCTTGGACCCAAGAAACGTGACTTTGGCGTGAGCCGTCTGACTAAACGCGGACTCGTACTACTTTGCATGGACATGTATCTACCGTTGGCCTTGCTTTTTATCGCGCGTAATATTGTACCCCCCCCCCCCTCTTTGGTGGCTTTTTTCCTTCGTGTACATATCTCCTGTCGTCGGCAAACAAAAACAATATTTCACCATTAGGGATTGAGCGTTCGATAAATCTTGGCCGTCGGACGGAAAACTTGATTGAATATGGAACAACAGTCGCGCGGGACCAAAATGGGCACATCAATCGTCCGATCGGCTCTCATCGTTTACGTTTGATAAGACAATAACAAAGTGCCATATTTCATTTGACCCTCGGACTTTTCTCCACCCCCCCCCTCCCCTTACGATAAAACAGCTCCGACGGCGGTTTTTTTTTTTTCAGCTCCCTCGCGGCACATCCTCCTTGCGAGCGTCTCCACTTTCCGCCGACTCGGCCGATTTATTCCGCACACGCGTGGGAGGACCGTGGGCTCCTCTCGTCCCGGCTTGTTTTATTTCGTCCCTATCAAGTTATTTTCCCTTTGAATTTACGGCCGCTTTTACGCTGTACGTGTGCACCAAACGCGATATAAAAGGGATGATTTTTTTTTTTTTTTTTTTATATTCCACCGCTTCTCCCGGGAGCAAGTATAAGCACTCTCATCGCTCGGATGAGAATAATTAAGCCACCATCGCGTTGCAAAGTGCAAAAAAAAAGGAAAGACAAACCAAAGCGCGAAGGAGGGCGCAGGGAAACAGCTCCGTTCGTCCGAAATTCATCAATTTATCTCTGGAGAGCTCTCTTTGGAGGCGAATCCATCACTTTTCCCGCTCGCTTTCCCAACGGGATTTCTGAATTCCGCGGCAATCGGCGCATACACACACACGCGCGCGGGTATACTTTGAAAGGAGTGCCAGCAGCTTCATCAATATTTGCCCGTCCGGAGCCTCCATTTTCTTCCGCTCGTTTTTCTCACTCTCCCCCGTCCGGGAAAATCTTGGGACACCCCCGCGAGAGCTGCACCGGGCGCTCCTCTGTACGGATGCACCGTCCGGAGTGTATGGGTAAGCCGATTTGGAGGGGGGGGGGGCGTCCGCTCGAAACCTCGAGGATACATCTCTCGCGCCAATCCTATATTTATGGAGACGCACGTCGACGCTGTTGGGGCTTATCGCGGGGGGGGGTGAGGGGGATAAGGGCCTCGAGGCAAATCCTCCGCATCGGCGGTAAAACGAAAAATCACAGGCTCTCCCGGCAAATAAGCTTCCGCGCGAACGAACGACAACAAAAACAACAACAATGGCAGTAGGAACGGTGATGCGCTACGCTCCGTTTTCCACAAAATCTCTCTCTCTCTGCACTGCGATTTTTCGATCTCTTTATCCACCGCCACGCACCCACACCTTCGGAAACCCTCGATGAGACGAGTGGGGTCGATTTTTTTATCCCCTCCCCCCACTGATCCAAAAAAAATGTCTCCCCCGGGAAACAATCATGACGCGTATTACCTTCAACAGGCAAAACAGGAGTGATGAATCAAGTTAGCCGAGCACATACACATCCTCGGGGAAATTTTCTTTCCTCATCGTGGCGTTTGTTTGCCTCCGGCACAGCGGCTCGATCGGTTTAATTGCTTCTCCGCACTTTTCTCCCCCCCCCCCCCTCCCAGTCTCTTTTGATATTTTCATTAGCGTACCGAGTCGCCGCGACAACAGCATGACTCTCTCGCTCCTTTCTCTGCCCGTGTCCTCCGGGGCCGGACGGATGAGAGCCTGCGACAAGGAAATTCCGAGGAGTTTTTCACGCCCCGTGGCTGCATTCTGATGTATTGGTGTCGTTTTTCTGTGGCAACACATCTACAGAACCGACGGTAGCTGTATAGTTCGAGTCGCGGAGCCGCTGCAAGCGTATTTCCTTTTTCACGGGGAAATAGAAAATTAATCAATCGATTGGAATTCATTATTGGTTTATTGTTCGCGCTCTCGGGCAATAATTATGGGAGCCATTACGCCCCCCCCCCTTCGATATTGGAAGAGAGGGGGGGCGTCATTTACTGCTTTTCCACGTGTGCGTGTGATCCCCCTCCGAATCGATGATGAACTCAATTCATAGAGGTCCCGGAAATCATTAGAGCCGGCCACATGTGTGCGCGTGTGTGGACAGCAGTTATTCTTTATTCCGGTGATTGAGAGCGCTCGCGTGTGCGGTTTGAATTTAATCAAGTTCATACCTTTCATCGATGGATCCGTCCCGGGGGAGCACGCGTGCGTCTTTTGTTGACGAAAATTTACTTTTACAACTACTTGAACGACCCGCTATGTTGAAATATAACTGTTAATGATTGTTTTTTTTTTTTTTTAATTATTTTTACTCGTGATGTTTGGGAACATTATTTTATGTTTACATGTTCCACGAACGCACGCTCGCTAATTGGAAGAATTTATTCAGTATACATGCCAGATCTCTATTGTCACGGTTATTGGGGTGTTTTTATTTTCATCGATCCCGCGAGATATCAGTTTTGGCGTCGAGTACGCGCGGTACACCCTAAAATATTGAAACAATGCGGTGCATAATAAATGCGCATACATATGTTGGAAACACAACATGCCGGTATATTTATTAGTATACGGTATATATAATGGACGTATGTATAAATATGTAATGGGCGCGTTGTGTTGGTGACGTTGCAGGTTTGGTGCAGCAGTCGTTCAGGGTACGGCCGTCAAACACCTCGATCCTCGAAGGAGGCGAGGCAACCCTGCCGTGCGAGGTCAACAATAAAATGGGCAACGTGCAATGGGTCAAGGATGGCTTCGCCTTCGTCGTCACACAGAGTAAGTTTTTCGTTTTTTTTTATTTTATCATCACAACGCTGCTTGGAAAAAAAAAAAAAAAAAATGAATGTTGATCCACTATAAAGAAAAATCAATGCTCAATTAAATTGATCTTGTCTGCACGCGTATACGAGGTAGATGGCGAATACAATCGTGCCCAAGGACCTCGTTTACAATCGTTAAAATAATGCATATTCTATAAAAAAAAAAAAAAAAAAAAAAAAAGTCATACGTCTCAATGTGTGTTTACTCGGATGACCCTTGGGCGATAGAACCATCTACCCCAATAACCCCATGTCACAATTGACAAGTGACCCGAGTGTAAGACTGACCGGTACGAATAACGCGTAGGCGGCGAAATCACTGGCTACCCGAGGTTGCGGATCATTGGCGATCAATCTTACGGCGTCTACAACCTGAACATAAAAAACGCGACGCTGAGCGACGACGGGGAGTACCAGTGTCAGGTCGGCCAATACGGCAAGATCAAGCCCATCCGGACCAACGCCAAGCTCACCGTGCTCTGTGAGTATATGTACATAATATACTCGTTATTTTGTCTTTATATAAATTATCTATCTATATTTTATGTGTAATTATCCTATTACGATTATCATCAACATCATCAAATGGTATCCAAACTAAGCCGAGGGAGTACGTGTACACTCCACCCCGGCAGTGGTAGTCTTTTCGCTATACACGGAAGCATATTCAATCACCAGCTCACGGGCCTCGTTCAAACTGAGTATACACAGAACTGCCTGCTGCGGCCGGTGTAAATCCGATTAACGGCGAGCAAGCCCCTCCTCCCTACCTCGGGGTTTATCGATCGCCTCTGCTATTTATTATACATGGGGTACTGCACAGCGGGTTTTTAACCTTCTGTTCACCCCTGCGAGCTCGTGCATTGGGTTGCATTTATTCCGTGTTAATTTAAACTGTTGCTGCTGTCCCATGCGTATATACAGAGCACCTTGTATTACATTACCGTTTGGTGAAAAAAAAGGCGCTTTGCAAGCCGAGGGGTAGGTTTTTAATTTAAAGTTATCGCGAGCCGCGTGTCACTGTGATACCTATATACCTACTTTGGTACGCTCGGTCGAGCCGAGCTTGCACCAGCGGCAAAATTCACGGCTCGACGCGCGAAATTCTAATCTTCTTAATGAAACGCCGAGCAAAGAAGAAGAAGAAGAAGAAGAAGAGAGGGGAAAAAGAAGAATTGATAAATACGTGGATGGTAAAAGCCGAGCTCGAGCGAGAGCGCCGTACGTTCCGTCTTTGCGCGAACGAAGAGCAAAAGTAGGTAGGTAGGTTGTGTAGAGAAGAAAACAAGTCTTCACGGTTCGAGCGGAGCCACAGAGAGTAGCGCGCGAGAGGTCAAACAATGGGCGTGGAGGAGGAGCCGGGAGGGTGGTGGTGCAATAAGACGAGAACGAGAGGGATCTCTTTTGAAGAGAGTGAGAGAGAGATTCGCGAGAAAAGTGCGCTAAACACCGTCGCAACGCGTACAAGGCAACGCAGGAGGGAAGCACGGCTATTACTACAAGATCCGCACTACCGGAGCAGCGGAAAGGAGAGAAAAGGCAAAAGAAGGAGTTGGAGGGACGTAATCTGCTCCCCTCCCCCTCCGGTGTCTCGGCATAGATAAGAGTGCGTTTAAGAACAAGAGCTTGCGAGTTATGAGGCTCTCGTGCTATCTCTTGTGCTCCTCCTCCTTTTGCCTTTTCCCTTTCTCTCCCCCTCGCCTGCGAGCTTTTCTCGGGATAGCCGTCGTCGCTGTCATTGTCGTCTCTCGGCGCTGCCTCGCAATTGGAAACGGAATCACGCGCCTCAACGACCTTTTGACGGAAAAACGATGGCAATTACACTTGGATTTATGATATTATTATACTTTACACCTTATACAGCTACCTCTCCCCCTCTCTTCCTTTATCGATGAATTCATTACCTTATTTTCCTCGCCCTGCAGTAAAACAAAAAGCAGGGCAATCGCACCAATTACGTCCACATTATTCGCTACTGTTGAGCATAGTGTTGCAAGACGCCTGTTGCTCTCTGTCCTTTTGGGACCCCCCGCGTCCCGTGCGATCCCGAGTAACAAGGACGACAACAACGGGAATTCATTATCCTTCGTCTCTGTGGTCCGAGTCGTATACCTGTGATGGGCCACCGCGCAAACGAGAAAAGGATCAAACAGTATATTGTGCGTCACATTTGAGAGCAGCAGCGATAGGTGTCTCGCACACGAGCTCATTTGCATGAAGTAATTCGGTTCCCCCTTTTGCGAAGGAAAAACACATGCTTTGATCGCTCGCTCGGATAGCGGCTCGAATAATAGATGTAATCGTTGGCAAATAGACGCGCGGCTCACTCTGATCCTTGCGCGTAATTTTTCTTTGGGCGAAAAAAAAACTCTGGGCGTAGTTGAGCGAAAGTATCGCGCTTTTTATGAAAGTCGGGTTCTTCCTTCCTTTTGCCATAGACGTTGCGGGCTTATCGCAAAGTTAGAAAGCAACGCCAAGGAAAAAAAAAAAAAGTTACAAATCCGAGATCACTCCGATATCTGTTCTTGTCGGAGTTCCACTTGTTTAGGAGGGAAGAAAAAAATACATATATCCTTGGAGAAGGGCGTGGCTGAGTTTTTATACGAAAAGAGCCCTCGAGTCGAGTCTCCGTTCGGGCTCTACCTCTGTTGGGGCAAAGTCGCACTCGTAAAAATTAACTAGATTTCTCCGAATGCATGCACCCTTACGGGCATTGCTATTTTCTGGCTCTTGGTTTTTTTTTTTTTTTTCCCCACTCTCCGGCTTCTAACGAACTAATTAATCCTCTTGCGCCTTTTATGGCTGGGCATTTCGCTTTTTTTTTTTTTTTGGTTCCATTCTGCTCTTTGGTTGAATTAAAAAAAAAAAAAAATCGTGGTCAAGGAGAAAGAACGAATTGTGGCGCTTGCGCGAAGATGAATGACCGTATAAGTGAGTAATACGGGAAAAAATGGAATAAACAATCATTTTTAAAAATAAAAAAAATAAAAAATCAAGATCGAGAGTTAGAAGTAGGTGGGATTCGACACAGAAGCACCCTTATCTTGAAAAAGTACAAGGAATCGATAAGAGAGAGCAGAAATACAGAGCTCCGAACGGAACTCAAAGGAAGTCATTTTTTTTCCCGACACAAACGAAGCCAAGTTGAATTAGGGGCACAAAAAAAAAAGATTCTTTTCAGCAGCTGAAGGTGTCCTTTATATACTTTTACGCTGCGAAAGAACGAGACACCTATAGTGGGGTTGGCAAAAAAATATTCTTGGAAAATCTCCTGTTGTTATTTGAAAGATTCCCTATCGATCAGCGAGGGCTGTGGTGCGCAAGAGAGCCGATAGGAGACGAAATTAAACATAAAAAAAAAAAAAAAAAAAAAATGGGCTGTATATATCTCCTTGTCTTCTCATCTTCAACGCAGTGACAATGAGAAACTCAATATACTTACCTACCTGCATGAAACAGTAGAACAGCACTGCCGGCGCGCCGTCGTCGTGTATCCGTAATGAAAGAAACACGGAGAAAAAACAAGGATCCCTTTTTATTCTTTTGTCAACGGCTGTACGTCACCCAACACCGAAGGCGGGCCCACAACAATGACTGTCTGATCAACACTCGATACCGATCCGTCGGAGCCCAAAGTAATTAAATTTATCCTCCAATCGTTGACTACCAATTACGGTACGCGCACAGGTACCTATAGTTCAAATTGTACCCATCGTAAGTGCTTTCGCGCTACAAAAGGTGTTTGTGCGTCGACGCTCGAACTTTGCGTGAAGTTCGCCGACAAAGATTTAGCCGCGCGAGAGATAAACAGGAAGTTACAGAGCGCACTGGCATCGGAGCTAGGGAGAGCTCGTAATTGAGTTTCGCGTGACTAGCCGTGCAGGCGTAGAGGAGCGCGAAATTTCCGGTGCACGGGGCGATTGCGTATAATCTGTCGGGCAGGTAAATAGGCGCGTCTCTCGGTGTTGCGCCGCCGCCGAAATCTCAACTGCTCCGGCGGAACGTGTTGTTAAGAGGATTTACCTGTGCCTCCCCTCCGGAACATTTTAGTTTCCGTAGCTGCGGTCTTTGCACGGCTTCTCCCCCTTTCCCGAAGTTTAATGCCATTCGGACTTTGGAAGGCGGCTTGACTATATACCTCCATCAGGGACGCACCACCTTTTGTTTGATTCGTGTCCCGAAGAATAAACTCGAACCTTCCGAGATCTGTAAGCGACCGTGTTATTATTTCATAGAAAAAATAATAACTTTCGAGGTAAAAATTTCAGATTATCTGCTTCCCGCCACGTTGTTATCTTACAACTTTTCTCCCCACCTCGAACTGACCCTCTGTGTGTTTTATGTCCTCATGAAATTCAAAAGGAGACGAGTGCAACGTTTGACAAATATTTACTCGGACCCAGAGACCTTTGATTTGTATTTTCCCCCGAGTCCGATCCAAAAAGTTGTTTGTTGCGTGGAGTAAAAAAAAACAACACATAGTACGAAACCTTCCACCGGGCGCTATTGGAAATGCCCATACGTAAAAAAAAAAATTTGCGATCAAAAGTTTATCTCCCCCGCTGCGGTTGTACGACTTTTCTTGAACGTTTTTTTTTTTTTTTTTTGGTACCTTCTTCCCGCGTGGAGGCTATTTTCCTACTTTTTACCTCTATGCCGTCCCGTGATAATTGGATTCGTTAAAAATGTAACGTGAGTTTCGAGCCGCGCTTTGCGTCGAGGTATAAATCTCCCGCGCCCAATTAGTCCAAATCCGATTATCGTAAAATACATGTCCTCTTTGTGGAACAGTTTTTTTTATTTTTTTATTTTTTTGTCCATACACCTCGGAGAAAAGCTACATAATAATAATTGTTGGAAAAGAGAGGGGTCGAATCAGAAATTACGTCAACGATGAACTTCCGCGCGCCAATTAAAATGCTCCCCCGCGCTCCCGGCTTTCTCGGGTACACTTGCGCAACCACTCGTTTCCACGCGCGAGAAGCATCGCGCGCAGAGAGCGTTTAGAGCTGGGCTTTTTCAAGAAAAGTGGATGAACACTCGCCCCCGAGGGTGCGCGCCCATATGGGTAAACACACACGCACGCCGCCCAACCCGAAGCAGCTCATTTCACGCTCTCGGGGTCGCACGCGACAGCAACGAGGTGTAACAGTATATACATATAGCCTTTGCGCAACCGTATAAGAAGGTACAAAATGTAATAAGTATTAATAATGACGAGCACACGCACGAGAGCGCGAGGACGAGAAGTGGCGGAGGCGTGTACAGCATATACACACACACACACACTCTATCGCGCGACCCGGCTCATGTGATTCTCACGCATAAATTTCACACGGCTCTATCTATCTTCTGTCGTCGCGGTCGCGGACCTGTACAGCATAGGGTATATTATATATAAATACACACGAAACCCCCCCCCCCCCCCCGAGTAGTGGCGCAACGCGTCAAGTATCCGTACGTGAGAGCACACGTAATAGC